TGTCACTGTAAGGAGGAGCCATGATGGCCCAGGGAGCACATATGAGAACAAAATCATTTCCTCAGTGAATGAATATGCCAATTTACACTAAATCAGCTACTTTTGCAGACTCTCCTATTTGTGTGTAAATTAAATAATTTCACTTGATGCTTTCACCATCATGTATATGAAACCAAGTAAATTTCTGAATGTAAGATGCTCCTCAACTCATGATGGAGTTACGTCTGGATAAGTCCATCACAATTTGAAAAAACTAAGTTGAAAGTGCATTTGCAATGTACCATCGGAAGTCAAGGACCTTCTATATAAAGTATCTTGGGCAATAAACTAAACTCCACACTGGTATAANGTGACAAAGATCAAGGCCCACCCATGGTCACAGAGCTAAATAATGGTAGATCTCCAGCCTCGCAGTTTACTGCTCTTGACCTTGGTCTACACTGACGCTTTTACTTCAAGTATAAATCATACGCTTGATAGCATCATAACTACAACCAAACTAAAGTATGTCATCTTTTTCTGAAACAGATTTTTAAAAATTCTCCTGCCTTGGGCCGAGCCCGTGGCGCACTCAGGAGAGTGCGGTGCTGGGAGCACAGCAGCGCTCCCACTGTGGGTTCGGATCCTATATAGGGATGACTGGTGCACTCACAGCGCTCACTGGCTGAGAGCGGTGTGGCCGGTCTCAAAAAGGACAAAAAAAAAAAAATTCTCCTGCCTTCAGGATGCCTTTATTATACTTAAGGACTAGATTTAAAAAAACACATTTGGCTTGGGTCTTAGAATTTAAAGTCAATTAGAAAATAGGATTCAATCAAATTCCCTTTTAGCAAAATATTCAGTCTGCTGTTTTCCCTTTTAGCAAAATTTTCAGTAACAAAGAACACTTAAACAACTAAGAAATACAGACCCCACCCTGACAGTCACCCAAAGAGCTGCGGTCACGTCCTTGCACTGAAGCTTCTGTCACTGTAGGGAGAAGCCATGATGGCCCAGGGAGCACATATGAGAACAAAACCATTTCCTCAGTGAATGAATATTCCATTTTGACATTCAATCAGCTATTTTTGCAGACTCTCTTATTTGTGTGTAAATTAAATAATTTCACTTGATGCTTACCATCATGTATATGAAACCAAGTAAATTTATGAATGTACAGATGCTCCTCAACTCATGATGGAGTTATGTCTGGATAAATGCATCACAGTTTGAAAAAACTAAGTTGAAAGTGCATCTTCAATGTACCATCGTTAAGTCAAGGACCTTCTGTATAAAGTATCTTGGGCAATAAACTAAACTCCACACTGGTATAAAAGGGTAATAGAATGGAAAGTACCTGGCTCCTGCAATTAAACCTGCAGGCATAAATTTTCCAGAGTGGTAGAATCTCATTCACATGATGCCAGCCAAGGTCCCCGATGTAACTGATGAAATAGAGAGAAGGGTCAAAAATCATTACATCTTATATGCAGGGGACCCACCTATTTTTCAAGGCCTACATCCCTACACAGTACTTATTTCTTGTTCCCCATATAGGGGAGCTTCATGGTTGCCCACATCCTTTGGGTCTAAAAACAAACACTGGCCAACTAAGGCCCTTCACAGTCTGGGCCCAGCCTGTCTTTCTGGTCTCATCTCTTACTTCTTTTCTGCAATACCCACACTTCAGCCATAAATATCAATAGTTTTGTCCAAAATGCTGTAGGATATTTTTCATGCCTTGCAGATAATATTTCCTCCATCCTGCATGCTCGTCCCACTGGACATCTGTCAAAACACCAACTACAGCACTGCACTAGGTATTGGTGAACACAACTAAAGTCAAATACAGTCTCAGCCTTTTCACAGTGTTTCAAGCCTGAGGGGTTAGACTATAAACAATCACACAAATAAAGACAAAGTGTAATTTGTGCTACAGGTACAATTAATGCTACACAAATAATATAATAGGGGAACAGACCTATTCAGGGACCTCAGGCAAGGATTAGCAAAGAAGGGAAGACTGAGCTGAGATCTGAAATCAGAGCAGGAGTTGATGAGCTGAGGGGAAAGCACAATCCAGGCAGAGGAGCAGCAGGTGCAGAGGCCCTGCAGTGAGAGGGAGCAGAGGCACACATTCAAGGCACTAAAGGCCCGCGGTGGCACAGGAATCAAGACACGGCTGGAACAAGACATGGCCAGACCACACACCGCCTTAACGGCCATACTGAGGACAGCGGTCTTCATTGTAAAAGCAATGAGAAGCTATTAAAAGCTTTTAAGCAGAGGAATATGTGAACAGAGCTGCATTCTAAAAGCAGAATTCCAGCTGTGTCACAGAGAACCAACTGCAGGGACAGCGATGAAGGCCCTTCCTCACCAACGCAGGCAAGAAAGAGGGAGAACTGGGACTAGGAAGTGGCTGCAGAGACGGAGAAGGGGACAGCGCAGGACGGTGGTAGAGGAAGCACTCGATGGGACCTGCTGATGACTTAGTCATACAGGTGGGGGAAGAGCAATCAGAACCTGAGCGGATGGAGGACAGAAGATGGGGTGTGCGAGACCACGAGGCCAGGTCTAGGCCGAGGCCTGGAGGTTTCTGAAGGACTCAGCCAGGCGGCTGTACTCATGAGAGTGCAGACTGGAGGAGAGAGAAATCTGATTGTCACTTGTGATTCTGTGGTAAAGGTATGGGCTTCAATGACATTGTCAAGTGAAAGAGAACAAAGAAGGGGAAAAGAGCCAGGCCTTAGGAAGGTCAATATTTAATGGCCAGAAAGGAAGATGGGTTGACAAAAGAGAATGACAAGATAAAAGGAGAACCAGGAGAATGGGAATTGATTGGCCGACGATGCTGAGAACAGCTAACAGGGCAAGCAAAATGAGACCTGAAACATGCACACCGTGGGTTGAATTGTGTCCCAAGTTTCATGTATTAGAAACACAGTCCCCACTGTGACTGTTAAGAGGGAGGG